TTTTCTTTTTCAGGTGTTGGGGGTGGCACAGCAGAGAGTGGTCCTCAGCTAGTCATGGTTCTGGCTGCCACAAACTTCCCTTGGGATCTGGATGAAGCTCTGCGAAGGAGACTGGAAAAAAGAATCTATATTCCACTTCCTGAAAGTAAGCTGTAATATTTAACTTTTTGAATTGTTACGTGTTATTTGTAAATATTGCCATATTTTTGATGTTGACAGACACAGTACACATTTTAACTGGAAGAACTTAAGCTCTACATTTTTTGTCAGGTTGTTTGTAAGTTTGTTCGTTTTTTCACTTTTCTTAAAGACCATCCCGTCTTCACCATAACTTTTGTATTCTTTTTTTTATTAACCATAGTAATGTTCTGACCACATCTCCAGATATCTAAACCATAGTAATGTTCTGACCACATCTCCAGATATCTAAACCTCCCGTCATGTAGGCTTTGAGACCTTGTCCCGGTTGTGTATTTAATCACATTCTGCCTTAATGTGTTGAGCTTCAAGAAGGTTCGAGAAAGCGAAACTCCACTGTAATTCTTTCACAACTCAGATGCCGTCTGACACGCGTGTAAACCAAATTCAACTGAAGGAGACATGCGATACTAAAACAGAACCTTAGTACACGCACCTAAGGCGGCGCACCTCAGTTAGCGCTTCCCTATGGTAAGAGAGTTTTTTTTTTCGCTCGTACTATTTTTCCTCTTTCAGCTATCGGTCGCCTTGAGTTACTAAAGATCAACTTACGGGGTGTGAACATGGCTGAAGATGTTATTCTGGAGGAGATCGCCAAAAAGATGGACGGCTACAGTGGAGCCGACATCACAAATGTTTGCCGGTTGGTAACAAGTAGTATTTTTGTTAACAGATTTTTTTTCACTTTTCAGGTTTTTTTCTTCCAGGATATTCATGAAATCTGTACTTTTTACAGGGACGCTTCCATGATGGCGATGAGACGTCGCATTAGAGGCCTTACTCCAGAGCAAATAAAAAATTTACCAAAGGAAGAACTGGATTTGCCCGTCAATATGGAGGATTTTGGTCTTGCTCTGAATAAAGTTTCCAAATCTGTGTCTGATGCAGATATCAAGAAATACGAAGAATGGATGAAAGAATTTGGTTCTACCTGATGCTATTATTTTAGGATTTGTCTCCGGGTTCAAAAAAATCATGAACGATATCGCAATTGTCTAGTTTTGACAATCTCAGTTCTGTGTTGTCCTTGCAGTCAGTGTGCTAAAGAATCCGGTAATTTAAGTGTGAAATTGTTCAAATCGACAGTCTTGCATTGAGAACGATTGTGACAAAATATTTATGAAATATTTTTTGCTGTATTGCGATTATCTGTCGCGATTTGTCAGAGTAGATGTCGTAAAGTTTGAATTCGATTCATTCGGCTTTATCCAGGCTTAATATGGGGGGTGGGGAAATTCCGATAAATAAGAAATTTCACTCGACATTTCTTCAGTGAGTTTTCTGTTACTTTATTTAATTTTCTATGATTTACTGATTTACTTTTGTTGATTAGACACACCTTTAAAAATTTCTCGTCACTAAAACCTTCGTCACGCACTTCAACGTAGGTCAGATACGAAAGCAAACAACTTAATACAGAAGTAAAGCATAGTGGTCGTGTATGAAAATGATGAGCTAAATTAATTCCCAGTTACGCTTATAAGTTCTATTCCGTTTACATACACCGAGTACAATGAGCTCCAGACTTTAAAAGTAGCGATTTTCGCGACTCTTATCCCATAACTGAAAAATTTGAAGTTCCTGACGTATGTCCTTCCTCGTGCCATCCACAATCACGAAATTTGTGTACGGCCGCGGACAGTTGATCGGTTTTTACCTTCCGCGTCTTTTCCTCACACAGTCAGCTATGACATCCATGATGGCCTGTTTACCTAACAGAGTGTTGAATTCTGTTACTGCTGACAGACGATCAAACGGCTCTGTGGGGTAATGAAAATTGAACGTGCTGTAATAGTCATCGGGATCTTCAAACACGGAGAAGTTTGCAAATTTCTTTTCCTCAGCAGTCGTTCGTGGAACTCCTGATAAAACAATATACAGCAGTCAGCGCTAATTCGTATAATCCGATACGTAAACACAGATTCTCGGAGAAGAAAGGACCTGTATCGCATAAGAAAGACTACAAGTAATTCCGCGAAATAATATCACATTCATTTAGCCGTCATTGATTGCCGTGGTGCAATTGGTGCAAAGATTTAAGCTTTCTGGGGGAAGGAAGCAAAAGCTTAAGCAGCTTTGAAACTTGTGACAAATCACTAATTTGCACATAGAAATGAATCAAATCTCCGCAGAAACCTGGTTTGCTCTGCTCCTTGAAAGTTTTGTTGACAAGAGGGAAATGCACTACAACCGGACAGGTCGGATCTGCGAGATCAGTGAACACGTAATATTCTTTGATTCCGTCCTTTTGCAACTGTTCCTTGGCGTTAATTGGTGGAAACTTCAAATTGTTTTCTCTTGCCCATTGCTCTGCCAAATACAGCTCCTGAAAGGTTCAAATATAAGTTACATGAAAATGAACCTGCAGGCAAAGACCTTTTCTATAACTCACGAGTTCAAACCCGGACACAGAATATTCTAAAGTTTACGGGTGCAAAAAGATTGGTCAAAATTCAAAAATTGATAAACAAAGGAGATCTAACTAATTACATTGAAAGAAAGTTCGTTGTCCTTCTCTCGAGCACTGAAGTCAAATGACAGGAAAATGTCAACATCTCGCTCAGGTCTGAGTAGAGGAGGATATGGTGAATTGAACAAGAGCCCGCTGTCAACCAAGTAGATACGTTTAGCCTTTACAGCTAAATGGTCAGCGGTGTCAGTGACCTCTTTAGCTTCTAAGAAAAAAAAAATTGTAGTATTATTGGTAAAGTGGGTAAGTTTCCAAAGAAACTGTGGTATTGCGTTGGTAAGGGGGTATAACGAGATCATTTGGCTCAATACTAGGTAGTCCAACATGAAAGAGTGCTTCCCAGCAGCTCAAAGCATTGAATGCAACGCTGCAATGAAAATTTTAAAGTACGCTCTGCAAATTTCAGACGATTGAATAATAACTAGAGAAATAAGAAATAAAAAAGGAATGAGGAAATAACGAGGTTACTCACCGGCCGAGGGGACTGGGGTGGTCATTAACTTAAGGCCGCGTAAAAAGTTGTGCACTATGCCTGCTCGACCAGATCGCGTTTTCAGGAAAGATATTTTTTCCACAAAGCTTTCCGCTATACTCTTCAGGAAACCTGGGTCTTCAGAGTCCTCATCTTTCGAATCCTTCTCATCCATGGCACCGAGATCCATTTCTTCGTCGCTTTCTTCGTCCTCACTAATGGGGTCGTTTAAAACATCTGTCTCTATTGAGGAAAAGAGAGAGAAAGCTGTAGCTTTGTAGAATGTGAACTTGTCTCAATCCACTTAACAAATGACCAAACAATAATTACTTACGCAACTCTTGTCTCAAGTCGCCAGAGTTGCTCATGTTTTTGACTGTGTCGGTTGGTGACTGGTCTTCGTTTAGAACTCGCTGAAGCATTATTGTCAAAGCACTACCCCAGATGCCTGTAAAGAGAAGGACATAATGCATTTTATTTCAGCTTATTTCAGTTAACCTTTTGCATGAGCGTTTAACTAGAGAGCAACTTCAACTGGTAAGGTACAGAGTACATCAACTAGAACCTGCGATACTGTAAAGCACGATTTTACTGTCTCTACTTCAATTGAAAGAAAATCAACCACAATGCGTAAAGGAAAACAATTTCCCACGAACTTCTTATTTCAATTTTTGGCCAATGAATTACATCCCGCTACTCGTGCTTTTCTTGATGACTGCTTACCTTGCAAATAAAGTAGCGGAGGCTCAGGATATGGTGTAACCAATTTGCCACAAAAGTATTTGCTTCCAAAATTCTCAGTCTTCATGAACGTGCCATATTTTGCCATGCCAACTTCATAAGGGCTGAATTCGAGCCATTCTACAAGTAAGGAAACAATCTATCAGAAGAAAAAAATTTCCATTATCATCCAGCGGTTTTGAATGATAATCTTAAAGATGAATCTGAACGTATTTCTTTTAACCTTCTATCAGGCGTCCATTTTAAGTGCGAACGTAAATGTAGGGTCTAGGGAGAGAGAATGATCTCAGGCAGTGTACTCTATTTAATGATGATATTATTTCTGATTTTCTTACCGCAAAAGTTCTGTGCAACTTCGTTCTTCTTTACATGAAGACAGGTGTACAGTGGCATTGGAGCCGCACCATCTTTCACTGCATAGCGCTGTTCGCTTAATTTTGGAACATCTTTCCGCTTTAAAGTAATAAAAACATTTAGGGAGATCTTACGATTGAATAAACTCTTTTTTGTCAAATGATAAACTTGTGAGCATTATTACAGGAAATTAAAATGTCAAAACTTGTGTTACAATTCAATGCGTTTCGTCTCAGTGATGATAGCAAACTTCATTTAGGAGCTTTTCAGTACTAAAAGACTTCATTAGCAAACTTGCATTTATATACAACGTAAATAAAAGACCTATATTTTCCAAGCTGGGCATACTAGAAAGAAAGTAGGATGTATTCGCAAACTGTGCCTAAGGTGTTGTGCATGCAGCGACATTTTTTACAGGAATGCACTTACCAACACGTCGGCTGATCTCAGACTAATTACAACTCACCTCGTCCCCCAAGAAGGACCACATGTCAAAGATGCTTGAAAGAGAGGGATCTGGATACTTACGTCTTTCAGAATAGTTTCTCCAACCAGATAACCAAAGAAATCTGTGAAACTGACAGGCTGTCCACGTGATCTCTTATCCAGGATGATGTTTACGTGATTGTACATCCATGATGGAGTTAGCAACAACCACATCCAGTTATCTTTGACATTTTTTCTCAAATCACGTTTGATTTCACATGGATGGGCTTTCGGCCACTCAGGATGAGAATATAACGTGGAAAGATACCTGGAATGTTGAAAGTTTTTGTTACAATTGGTTGCGAACTTCTGCATTGGCTTTTTTGTTTTGGGCAAATGCAGCATTACGCACGGTAGTTCAATTTTATTTGACCAGTGAACAAATTTCCCTACAGAAGATGTCCAAAATGATTTTAATATGTCAATTGAAAAGAACAGCCATAGAATCTTGGATTTAGTGTGATTTTGAATGTAACCGAAAAATGGATTTTAGTGGATTTTGGATCCGAAAATTGGATTTTAGTGTGATTTTGAATGTAACCGAAAAATGTCTCTGAAAGTATCATCCACGGTCAGCCGTTCTTGTCCTTTGCTCTTTATCCTAACGTATTTCTTATATCTTTTGACAGTCGAAGTTTCTTTATTTAGTGATTAGTCTGTTCGAGATTGACAACTAAATGCTATCAAAGCAAAATACGATAATAAAGATCCATCAATATGAACAGACGTTAACTTCTGACCCCGAGGGGACAAGGGCCGAGGAAGAGGGTACTCCACGGAATCCCTGGTAGGGGTGTGTCACCCATTTCTCTAATAGCCGACCCTATATCCCTTAATAAAACATGACTGACAGAAAAACCAGTAAAAATGCCTGGCCCCTAAAATTCAAACCCCTCTACAGACCAAAGCAATTCATACGCCATAACCATAGGGAAGGTGCTTTCCCGTAAAGCTTTCCCCTGTCCCCGTAACTTACCACGCGGACCCTGACAGTCCTGCTGTGTACATGACACAGTCTAACACACCTATCTCCTTTAGAGCACAGAATACACCACTGAGGGAAACCATGGCACGAAAGCCTCCTCCAGAGCCAAGAACAGCAATCGAGGGCACCTAATTAAAGGTAAAAAAAACCTCTGTATCTCATCATGGTAATTCCCTAATGTATTTTTTAGTTCATTTTCCTCTCAGTATTTTTTTTTTTTTTTGACCCTCTTTTGGGCGGTGATGCATTTTGCATTTTGCATTTTGCATTTTGTTAACTTAACTTTAAGAGTGTAGTTACCTCACCAATTTCTTTTGGTCCTCGTTCTCTGAGCAGTTTTCTCATGGCTTCAAAAACAACTCTTTTCCTCTTCTGACGAAAATCAGTTTCCTCGTCACAAAGGTTCAGGCTGTACCTCATGTCTGTGACTGCAGAGCTAGTAGAAAAATCATAG